ACCTATATCATGGAAAATTTGGAGTCTCAGATGCTCTAACAGCAACAATGGATCTTAAAACCATTAGGCCAAGAATCGTATCAGGTTACGTATGTAACCCTAGTTCCTCGAGGGAACGAGACACTGTGTCGAAAACGCTAGGGGAACGCCTTCTGCGACCCACGCTCTGAATCACATGTAAAATCAGTCCAATAGCTGAACGGGACATCACGGCGGATGACGTCATGACCAGGAAGCTATAAAAGCACGTGCGGCGGAGCCAGCGTCAGCTTCTAGGAAGGAAGCAAGCACCGACAGGGACGCCGGAAGTATGGCACAGAGATGCAGCGTCTCGTTCCCTCGAGGAACTAGGGTTACATACGTAACCTAAGACGTTCCTCTTCAGGAACTCGAGCTGCATCGAAAACGCTAGGGGAACGAGAATGCCCACGCCGCCAGACTTCCAAATCTCTGCCTAGTGTGGAAGACTGCACAACTAGGGCGAGAGAACGGAAGAGCCGGGAGTGGCTCACATGTCTAGCTCATAAAACCTAACAAAGGTAAGGGGCGTGGACCAACCCACAGCGTTGCAGATGTCCTGCCTAGGCACACCCGCTAAGAAAGCCTTAGAGGCTGCCACACTTCGAGTCGAGTGAGCCTTGACCCCTAACGGAGAGGGGAGATCAGAGGACTCATGACATAAGGAGATGGCATCCACTATCCACCGACTGATGGTCTGCTTAGTCGCTGGAAGACCTCTCTTAGGGGGACCATAGCACACAAGCAACTGGTCTGCCCTCCTCCATAGGGCAGCTCTGTGGACATATGCATCCAGTGCTCGCACTGGACACATACAGTTAAGCTTCTGCTGGTCTGGTTCCATGAAGGGGGGAGGACTGAAGGCCTGAAGTACAATGGGCTGTGGTGCTGATGAGGGGACTTTTGGGACATACCCCACACAAGGGTACAGAAATGCTTTGGCCAGACCGGGCGCAAAGTCAAGATAGGAAGGGGCCACAGAGAGGGCCTGTAAATCCCCAACGCTCTTAAGTAGGGCTGGGTATCGTTCAAAATCTTTCGATATCGATACCGATACCTTGACTTCAACGACACTTTTTTCAATACCAATTTTATGAAATCAATTTTAACAAGATTACATTATCTAAAAAAAAACTTTGGTTTTATTTTTCAGCTTGTTGATGTTTATACAAACTCAAAGACTCATCTCCTGAGCCACTGCACAAAGGAACAAAATGTAACCAACACAATCAGTGCAAAATAGTTTTAATAAAGCTCAAATAGTCTTCAGTTTACACATCTGTTAGGCTACATTTGCACTAGTTAGTGTTCATTTTAAAACGCTTAGCTCAGACAGAATCATGATTTCTGTTTATTTTCCACTGATTTACTGATGAGCATTAGCAGCTTCCAGCGATGTCTGCCTGTGTTCTCTCTTCCATGATCGCTGCTCTGACTCAGAGGTAATAACATATTTAATTTCAGCAACACATGGCCAAAACACACATTAGATAGCAGGTCCGGATTTACCTATTTTCGTGACGTAGAAAAAAATGATTTTTGGGCCCCCTTCCCTATTAATATAATAGACCTAATATTACCACCCAAGCAAACAAAAATATTTCTTAATCAGTGGAAACCGATACAGTGTTTTCTAACGCTTGCGTTCAGTCAATAAAAATCAAATAGTTCTTAATTTGTTTGAGAACTGAGAAAGACCATGCCTTAT